AGCCAGCCAGGGAGGAACCAGAGGGAGAGGGACACGGGGAGGGGAACGAAGCCCAGAAGAGTGAGTTCCAGGAAAAGGCTGGCTGGAAAACCGGATCAGACAAGGGAACTTTTACAAGGGAACTTCTGGAGTCTCTCCAATGATCTCCCCAGTCAGTGTCCCGGCCCCAACCGCTCTCCGAAGACTCCTGGATGGCTTCCGCTGCTGCCTGGCCTGTCCTTTCAGATTGGAAGCTGATGTAGCCTCCTCAGAGCGATGTGTCCAAAACCACACCCCAAGTTTCTTTTCACATAATATGACCTCTACTGGGTTCTCGCTTAGGAAATGGCACCACTGCCCTGACTGATGTGGCTCAGTTGGTTAGAGCGTTATGCTGATACGCCAAGATTGCGGGTTTGATCCCCAGTCAGGGCACATTCAAGAGGTGACCAATGAATGCGTAACTAAGAGGAATAATAAACGGATGTCTGTCTCTGCCCCTCTCTCTCAAATTAATAAAAAAAATTTTAATAAAAATAAAGCAGGCCCCTACCTTGAGTAACTCACATACATTACTTCTTTTCAAAGGATTTACTGCTGTCTGAAATTGCCTTTTCTGTTTACTCGCATTGGGTCTCGTTCACCACTTAGAAAGGAATTTCCCAGACACGGAGGCCACACATCTGTACTGTCAGTGACTGGAGAACAAAGGAGCCCTCACGACAGCCCCTGAGGCAGGTACTGTCATTATCGCCTTTCATTCACAAAGGAACTGAAGCTCAGGGCAGGGGGTGGGCCTGGGCCTGGAACTCAAGTCTGTCTGCGTCCGGCTGTGCCTTGCGTGCCTGTACAATGCCACCGCAACAGGGAGTAGGACCCTCTCTTTCCTACCCAGCACAGCATCTCTTGAATGCGTCGGCCCTTCAGCCTCTGCCACAATCGCCTTTGTGCTGGACGACCGCGGCAGGGTCCCTCCTGGCCTCTCTGCCCCTCCGCGCTCCAGGTCTTTTTTCCCCCCTCCATCTGTGGTCTCTCGGTTTCATGTTTTATGCTTATTCTACTGCGCCGGGAAAGCAAGGACTCCAAACTGCCCAGAACTGTGCTTTGCCAGTGTCCATCAGACAGAACTGGGATCCAGGGTCTAATGGCCGGTATGTCCCAGGGCATTCAGAGCGAGTCTGTGCTCCTCGGCAAGATCCACGAGGACCTTCACACCCGGCCACCCATCTCCCTTTACAGCCTCACCTCCTGCCAGGTACTCATTCGGTCAACAAGTACTGAGGGCCTACCAAATACCAGACACTGTTAGAGGCACTTGGGATACATCTGTGAACAAGCAGAAAAGGGAAGAAAACTGCTCTTGTAGCACTTCCGTTATTTTTTCTCTTTTCGAGGGAGAATGAGATAGTGGGAGGGAACAGAGACAAACAGTAAACACACAGTAAGTGAATTATAGAGAATGTTAGACTGTATCAAGTGCTATAAAAAAGAAAACAGCAAGGGACATGAGATCAGCGTTTTGGCTGCGGGATTATCAAACGGCACAGTCAGGGCAGGCCTCCCTGCGCAGGTAACACTGCAGCAGAGACTTGAACGTCCCCTTCTGTAAGCCACACCTCTGCGTGCCCTGTTTTCTCTGTCTGGGAAACCTGCCTCTGCACAAGCCTCGAAAACAGCTCGGATCCGACCTCCTCTCCAAAGCCTTTACCAGTGTTCCCAGACTACCTAACTCAGCTTTTTGGAAAACCTTTCCTGTACACGCCCCTCCTACTCACGTCTGAATTTACGGACAGAGCCCTTGGAGGCAGGGTCTTGCCTCGTGTTTGTGAGAGAAGCACCCAGCCCCCCAGGGCTTTCTCTGTACGCAGCAGATGACCGATGAGCAGCCGCAGACTTGCGCACGAGCACGGTGTTTGGGGCTGACTCTGGCAACCTGCTCTGCGTCTCCACGGCATGGAGACGATGGCAGTGCTCCGACTGGAAGTCTAGGCTCTCCTGACAGCCAGCAGCTCACCTGCTTGATGATGTAAGTCAGCTCCTCAATTTCCACCGCCTTGTCGTCGAAGAGGGACTTCCGCTTTGCCACTACAGAGATAAAGGAGAGGTCATGGCGGGTGACGCTGAAGACATGGATCGGGGAGGACGGTTCCTCCGCCCTCTCCCGGTTCACTGCTCCACCTCCAAAATGCCCCGAGAACACTCACAGATCGTCAGCTTCTCCAGCTTGGCAAAGGTGTTGCTGAGGTCTTTCCCAATGCGCCTGCAAGCAAGCAACAGTAACACCACTGTGGGAAAGGGCAGGAGACGGCCGATTCCCGCAGTAGCTCCGGCACAACGAATCCCAGCCCCCACGGCCACAGTCACCACGGGCAAGCCCCCTTCTCCTCAGGCACTGCATCGGCCCACCAGGCCACTCCTCTCAACTCACTTGGCCATGAGGGTGAATTCACTGCGCTGCCGAACAGCACGCAGAGCTGGTTTGTTTGTCTGTATTCCATTCTGAAAAGCAACGTCAAGAGGTGAAACTTTTGTCCCCTCCGCACCATTACCAGCTTTCACTGTTCTCAGGTGTCCACTAAACTCTCTAGTACCACTGGTGTCCTCCCCCAGACAGTCTAATTTTAGTAGTAGTAGAAGTAGCAGCAGCAGTAGTTCAGAGCCCGAATTTGAAGACTAGGAGACCTAGGTTCAAATCTTGACTATATCATTTACCAGCTGGGGAGTTTGGGGCAAGTTACTTAAAGTATGTGGACTCTCTATTTCCTTGCCTACAAAATGAAGACAATCCACACACCTCCCACGGTTGTTGGTAAGGTTAAAAATAAGGATGAGGAAGGGTTCTAGCCAGAGAGCTGGTACACTGGGAGCACTGAACAAACGGTAGCTCACATTACCGTTCTGTGCTTCTACTCAGGGGATCAAAGAGAGCTGGAAAGCTTTTGCCAATCATACAGAAGAGCAGCTAACAAAAGCTGAGCAGTAAAAATATTCAAAATTACAGTCACTCAGGTCCTACTTAGATTCAGATCTGGATCAAGACAAGGAAATGCAATTTTTAAATAAGCACTCCAACTTTGATAAAGATTATAGGCCTGGCTGGTGTGGCTCAGTGGCCTGTGAGCCAAAAGGTCCTGGGCTCAATATCCAGTCAGGGCACATTCTTGGGGTTGCGGCTGGGTCCCCAGTTTGGGGGTGGGGGTGGTGAGAGGCAACTGATTGATGTATCTCTCACACATCAATGTTTCTCTCCCTCTCTTCCCCTCTCTAAAAATGAGTAAATAAATCTTTTAAAAATAAGATTGCAAATCTATCTACAGTAGAAAACGTCCTTCACTGGACAGATATAAAAGCTGAGGGACAACTAACTCCCCTGCGGTCGCACGGCAAACTTGGGGTAGAAGTGTCCCGGAACTAAAATTCAAAGTGCTTTCTCTAGGCTAAAGGCTTTTTCTAGGACCTATTCCATATCCAAGCCAAATATATCGCAGCCACGTCTCATCCTGAGCTATTCCCTCAGGAACAGCAGCCCTACCTTCTAGGGAATCCCTCACACACCGAAAAGTACATTTGCCTCTAGGTAGCTAGCTAGCCCACCTCCTAGATCCTACCGCGCCCTCTAGCCTGATTAGTTCTCTATCAGGTTCCCGCAAGAATGATTTCAATCAACAGTGCTGGGACACACACAGCCTCTCCCAGATCTGAGCACAGTTCAGCCCTGCCTTTCCCACTCCTGGTCCTTACCTGACGGTTCTGCAGGGATTTGCAGGCAGACAGGAACTCTTGGGTCCGATCCCGGCAGGACATGGTGTCGGGAGGGGGAGGGACCAGGGCCACTGGGGTGGGCAGAGGGGCGATGTCGCTGCTGCTACTGCCAGCAGTTGCAGGGGACAGGACTTGTGTCTTTGAGAGACCCAGGTAGACACCCTGATCCGTGTTCTTAGACCCGTAGCGTTTCCGCGGGATCATTGAGACGCATAACCTCGGACTGATGTGGAGGGGAGAGTGTCATTCCCCCGGCCTCTTTCCCACAAATTTCCCCCAACCAGCAAATTCTTGGGCCCCAAAGCCCCCCACAGATCCTGGGGCCGAACGGCAACAGGCAGGGCCCTACTTCCTTTCCGGCCTAAGCCATTCCCCTCCTCACTCTTCTTCCAACTTGGCTTGGGCAGTCAGAGAGAGGGTCGGGGGCCATGAAGCAGAGACAGGGCCAAAGGCCGGTTCCGTGGTCCCAAAGCTCCAGCCCGGCCTGTGCAACTGCCCCAGGCCGTAACTTGGGCCCACGGGTTCCTTGGACTCGTCAGGGAGAATTAAATGGTAACGGACCTTCTGAGGGGGTACACACTTCGGTGGGAGGAGGGGGGAAAAAAAATCTCTGGGTGTTTATTTGAAACAGGAAGTTCCACCCCCTCAAGCACCACCTTCTAGGGAACTGCAACTACTGATTAGCTAATGCCGACGTCTTTCTCAATAGAGGCTTCCCTGATTGGACACCGAGGTATTCACTCACCGCGAGCCGGGCGGCAGGACCTGTGCCCTCGCCTCCGGTTCCCTTCCCCCCTTCCCGTGGCCACCGCCGAAAAGCCTCTGCCCCGAGCCGATACAGCTGCCAGACCACTCTTAGAGTAAGCCCTACCTCCTCTGCCGCCTGCCGCCTGCCGCCGCCGCTGCCACAATCTCCTGGGTCGTCACCGCCTCTTCCCTTGGCACGGAAGCCTCGGAAACTCGACCAGAAACTAGAGGCCGCCACGTCACCTACACGTAACCCCACCCCCGGTGACTGGAGGACGGTGCCACGCCTTTTCGAGCCCGGCAACCGGCAAGACACGCCCCACACCCAAATACTAGAACGACTCCGCCGTTCCATTGGTTAGACCGGAGCCGTGATCCCGCCCCCTAGGAATAGAGCCCGGGCCTACCCGGCTGGACCAACCTCTGGGGTGGAGCCTTAAAGAGACCGACGCCCAGCTGGTGCTAGATCCCAGTGCGGGCCGAGTGGCAAGAGGCTCAAACGCTCTGGCAGGTACACGTTAGAAACTTTATTCTCTGGAAGCTAGGGAGGACTGAGAGCAGGGCTGGGGTCACCCCTTCTCCGGCTCCTCCAGGATTCCCTCCGGGCTGCTCCCACGCTTTTGACTCTGGCCTGATTGCCTCTTTGAGCCCCGACGGCTGAACAGGGATAGCCGTCGCCACAGCACGGTGATCAAAAGGCTCTCGTTAGACTTGCGATCGCGTTGGTTCGTCGAGTCCACATCGGCCTCTCCGGCGTCTGCAAAGGTGATGAGGCCGCTGATCGCCGCTCTCCCCCGCGCCCTCCTGGGCCTTCCCCTTCTCCCATTCCCGGGGACCCCAGGGGTATCTGTGTTCCCACCTTCCCCGACTTCCTCTGATTCGGCCTCCTGGGCCTGCCCACCGGTGTTAAAGTCCTTGTCTTGGCAGCAGCCCATGGCCCTCGCAGCCCAGCACTCCGTGCCACCCACTCCAGCCCACCTGGCTCCGACCAGGCTTTTGTGACGTCAGATATCGCGCCGCCCTAGCTCGGAAAGCAGCCACACCTTTCATTTCTCCCATCACAAAAGGCTCAGGGTCATGATGAGTATCAGTCGTTTATTTACAAAATGAGCTCAGGCTTTTTAGGGGCTGATGGAGCCAGGCCGCTTTTTCTTTTTCCGTCTGGTTTGGAAAGCCCCTGGTGTCTTCTCCAAATCAGGGAGCTTCCGCTTGGCGGCTGCTTCCAAAGAAGCCCAAAGTTCATCTGCCTCTGTGTCTTCTGGAGGTAACTTACTGGGCTCTTGAGGCTCTTGTGGTTCATCCTAGTGAGTAGAGAAAAGCTTAGGAGTCAGGGACACAGTGACAGACCCACAGAGAAGGAGGCTTGAACTGGGAAATCACCTTTCCGAGTAGCACCACTTTTATTTCCTGATCTGGGAAACAATCCCCATCCATGTTCCTGTGTCACCCATGGCTGTAACCTTGGCAGGACTGTAACTATTAACACTCCTCAGGAAAATTAAGAGATGTGGCAGAGAGACGGAGAGTTCCAGATCTGCGTTCCAGCTGCTTCCTTTTTCTCCCCACAGGGAAATAAATCCTCGTATCTTATGCCCTTGGTTCCCACCTTCCCAGACCCAACTGCTCACCTCCCAGTTATCCCTGCTTGACAGGAGAAGGCAGTTCAGTTGAGACTTGAGATAAACCTGCAAGAGATGAGGGGCCTTAAGGACCCAAACATGCTGAAATGTACAGAAACAGGAATGGGGCCTCTGGAGGCAGCAGGCTCTCACCTTGTGCTCCAGGCCTCGTGGATTCTGGATCCTGTGTATCCTCAAGATTCTGTCCAAGCCACAGGAGGCTAGCAGCGGCTTTGAAGGGTGGCACTGCAACCCTCGGACACTGCCTGCCAGCCCCTTCAGACAGCCCAGTAGGCGCCCTGGAGAAGGGGGCAGGCGTCAGTGCCAGCTGGCCAGCCAGCAGCCAGTACCGAGTGTTTACTGTTCAAATCACTACATTTCACTACTTCATCCTCAACATAACGCTGAGATAGAGTTACCATTACAGCTCCATTCCACAGGTGAAGGAACTAAGGCACAGGGAGTTATGGTAATTTGCCCGAGGTCATACAGCTTCTGAATCCACACTCTGAACCCCGACAAATCTGACACCTAAATGAGGGGTCCACCACCCCACTACTGCCTCAGAGGGAATCCTGCCCTCTCCCTCCCCCAGGGCTCCCCAGTCCACTACCTTGCCGAAGGTCAATTTCTGCCAGCTGCCCATGAGTGTTCCCCACAATCACTGAACTGAGGAGGAGACCAGAGGTTAGGTGAGGTCAGCAGGAGCCTCCTGGAGTCCTTCCTGACCCTTCTCTGGCCTGTACACACTCACTTGCTCCCAGGAGTGAGAGTCATAGCCGTCAGTGGGTACTCCCCATAGGTGGCCTCTAGGACCGGCCGGCGCTGCGGGGAGGCTGGATCATACACACGGACCTGGAGGAAGACTGAGGAATCACAAGGGTACTCTCACCCCACAAAGCCCCCCACTGTGGCTTCCCCACACTTCTCCCCCCCTTTGTGTACTGCTTTCCTGCTTATGACCCACTCTTAGGAGAAACTTTCTCATTTGAAATGCACCCCTCTTCTCTTGAGTGTTGGGGGTTGGGGGAGAACTTCTTAGGAGCATACATGGACAGGGCTGAGGGGAGCGGCCCCCCAGGTTAAGAAGCGGCAGCCTTCCCGTGGCCTGCATATGTGACCATTCCATACCCCCATACTCCCATCTTGGGATGGAAGAGCAAGTCAGTCCCATTGTCGAGGGTGCTGAATTTTAAGCACAGAGTTTAGCCTGAACAAGGGAGGAGAGAGTGAGCCCTCATGTGTGCTTGGAGCAGAGCAAAGGAAACAGCAAATACAGTGACCCAGTCCTGCCTGAGCTCCCCAGTTGGGCCCTTTCTACAAAGCTGAGGAGCTGAGGCCAGAGAGGAGTCAAACCGGGGTCCTGAAGCAAATCAGCGGCTGCATGAGGCCCAGAAACCCAGTTCTCTGGACGTGGAGCCCAGTGTCCTCTCACGACACTTGCACCCTGTGACTCTGCCACGAAGGGAACGCTCCCTTCTCTCCTCTCTCCTAGTTGGGAGGAATAGGAAGAGTCACGGTTCACAAAACCCCATGCTGGAATGCGGTAAAAGACGGATATGGAGCAGGCACGGATGGGGAGGTGCTCCCTCCTCTGAGAGTTCAGGGACAGAAGAACAGTGAGCGAGGCCCCTGTGACGAAGGATGGGGACGGAGCCTACACAGGGAAGCTGTTTCCCCAGGAGGCTGCTGGAGTCCAGTAGGAGGTAGGGGTGGGGTGATGCCTCACCTGGTGGTACCCTGTACAGGTGACAAGCTTCTGTGACTCAGGGAGGAACTGTATGTCCTGGTCCCAGATGGGAACACGAAGGTCAAGCCAGTCATTCTGTACCTGGTGGGGTGGGAAGATGGGGAACAGGGTTGTGGGCAGCTCAGGGTGCCCCTTCTTTCAGACCTCCGCCATCAATCCCTAAAGCCCACCTGGTCTCTGACTCATGGTCAGTGACCCCGCCTCCCTGGACCCCAGCCCCAGCCCCTCCCTACCCGTCACTCACGTTCTTGGCTCTGAACACAGGCTCCGCAGACCCCTGCAGATCCCACACCTTTAAAGCATTCTCCTTCCCACCTGTGGCAACTACGTGGGGGTGCGCTGGGTTCTGGCGCATCCTACACACCCCGGGGCCCACCCTTAGTTCCAGGAGCTGGGAAGAACGAGGTGAGATGGGAAACGAGCATCAGTTCCACAGTGCCTAACCCTCCTTGCCCAATGCCCTCGTCCACATGTTCCCCGGGCTCCTGCCTTCCCACAACCGTCAGGATCAGGGCAGGGGAGCCTCACTGGGTCAGAAGACGTCTCCTTGTCACTGTCACCCCAGACTCGCAGAATTCCAGAGTCCACACATGTGATGAGGGTGCTGCAGGCAGAGGAAGGATAGGGTAGAGTTAGGCTGAAAAAAGAACATGGGAGTGTTACCAGTCCTCTTCCTAAGGAAGCTGCTAGGTAACGAGTCTGGGCAGGGTTTGACAGTTTCTGGCTTCCGTGCCTATTGTCTAATTTAATTTTTAAAATTTTATTTATTGATTTTTAGAGACAGACAGAGAGAAAGAGACATCAATTTGTTGTTTTACTAGTTTATGCATTCATTGGTTGATTCTTGCATGTGTCCTGCAGGGGGGGATCGAACCTGCAACACCGACTTATTGGGTATGACAGTGTAACCAACTGAGCTACCCAGCCAGAGCCTGTTATTTAATTTCTTCAACAGAGTGAACGTTTACCGGTTTCATAAGTGGGGAAACTGAAGCTCTAAGCAGTTAGCCCACTCAGCAAAGGTCAGAACCAGAAAGCAAGCCTGTGATACTCCAAAGCAGTGACTTTGTGTTCCACAGCTGGCCCTACAGGCGTTTCTACATCTCAAGTCAGTCGCCAGGGGTCAGAGTCAGTCACTGAAAGGACTGAAATGGGACTGGTCTGGGTTTAGGGTTTGGCCAAAGTCAAACACCAGCTTCTTGTCTCGAGTTCCCTGTTCTGGGTTCTAGGCACTAAATGTCAATCTCTGCAAGAACCCCTCCCAAGAAGCCCAAACAAGTCTCTCCCCAGCAGCTGTACAGTGGGAGCGTACGCCCCTTCTCGCATCTGCCCACCCTCGCCACCTTGGTTCAGCGCCTGCATCACTTGCCGCGGCTGTGACAATGGTCTTCCAGCTGCTCTCGAAGTTCATCCTCCACACTCCCACAGGCTCACAGCTCTGAACACTGCACTGCCCCCTCAAAACCCAACAACCCCACCATCTGCGAAACCAAAGTGCGGATCTCTCAGCCTGGCACCTAAAGCCCTTTACAATGAATCCCAACCTACCTTGCCCACCTTGTAGTGAAATGCTTCCTCAGCATCAACCCCCAAGTGCTATTTATTTTCCCTGAAAGGTATCCTGTAGCCCAACACCAATCCTTGGCCTCTGCCTGGGCAGTAGCCTCTTTCTATAGTATCCTTACCCCTTTCTCCACCTGTCAAAATTCTAATAATTCTTCAAGGCCTACTTCAAACGTTGTACTCCATCCGCAAGAGGTCAGAATTATCACCACCAAACCTACACGCCCTTTTCACAACCTCCTCTCTTCATCTGCGGAAGAAAGTTATGCCAGTAATGGAACCACTAGCACTTTCCTCCTGTCCTTTCCTTTGGGAGCTTCATCACCTTGTTGGTGGTTGTCAGTCGCCATTTAAAAACATCCTCTAAACTACTCAGTGCTCAGGGTCACTCAAAAGGCTTGGGAACCAGGAGAAAATCCCTCGAGGATGTCCGGTTTACCTGCAGCCCTTGCATTTCACTGAATGCATATAACTCACTAGATGTTCTTAAATGTTATAGGAATGAATGAAAGAACACAGGACACAGGTCCCTGTCACCCAGCCCAGGACCGTGTCCCCCTAAGGGTTGGTCACCATTATTCGGCCGTCCTGTGTGAGCCTCAGCGGTGGCCTTAAGCGTTCATTGAGGATCTCGGTCTTACCCGTCGACCTGGGCGAGGCCTCGAAACGTGCCCTCCCCGCCGGGACAGTTCCTCTGGCCCTGGAATATGCCCTCCTGGGTGCTGAAGTGCTTCACCGTCCTGTCAGCACAGCCCACCAGAATCTGCGGGCAGAGAACAGGATGGCGAGGAGAGCGAGGCTACCAGCCCCTCAGCTCCAGCCCAGCCAGCGGCTGCTCACCTGTGTCTCACCGCCCGCGCCCCAGCATAGGGCGCTCACCGCCTCCTCGCGCCGCGGCTGCCCGGTCGCGGTGAAGTTCACCGCCTGTTTACGCTGAAGGTTCACCCCTGCGGGACGCGGGTGTCAGTCGCATCGGGGTCGCGAGCTGGCGACCTCGCCACTTCCCGACACCCGATCCTGTCACCCACCTTTAAGGATCCCAGTCTCAGAGCCGACCCACACATGGTTCCAGCGTGCCCCTGCAGCTGCCATAACGGAGCCTGGCAGCCCACAGCCGCACTTCCGGCGCAGCAACGGCGTCACCCAGGCGCGCGGAGTGGGATCCGGACCAACGCGATTTCTGGGAGTTGGAGGTGCCGGAAGTCTGCCTGTCCGTCGCCTGCTCCCACTAGTTTCGCGATACGAAAACGAAAGGTAGAGACGTTCTTACGGATCTGTAGAGTAACTTAACCAATTCTAACTTAGAATAAAATACATCGTAATAGGACCCCGAAGCCTCTTCGAGCCAGCTCCAGTCCGTCTTCTTGCTGCAAAGTATAATGGTATTTTTTTCTCTGTACAATACTATTGAAGTCACTATTGTGGCGCATGATTTCGAACTCGAAAATAAAAGACACAAAAAGGAGAAAAACAAGAAAAATGAAACAAGGCTTTACAATATCTTTGTTTTGAAAAAGTGGGGATAGATTTTTTTTTAATTTCCTTACACGGAGTTGGGGTAAAAATTACAGCAACTTAGCTTTTGAAAAAGAGTAACGAAAAAAAACCCCACACTATTGCGCTAAATCGTGAGAATACTGCCGATGTCTACTACTAGTCTTGTTCATGAAAAGTAGTCAATAATCACTTTTTCAAAAACTTCTGTTATTGTAAAACCAAAAAAAACTTCAGTAAGTTTAGAAGCTCAAGAATTAGTCTTACTTTTAGACCAGCAATAGTTCCCCCAGAGGGGGTGCACCGTTCCTGGAAGTACTGCAATACCAGGTCGATGCGTGGAGTGGACGGAGCAAGCCCCTATTCCATCTCCTAACTCCAAAAATCCATTTAATATATTGTCCTCGGATAGAGGACGTATCAGATATTAAACTGATAAGAACAGATACTACACTTGATCTTAGCCAAAAGGCCGAGAAGCGATACTGCACCGTTGCACTCTGGGCCAGGCTTACCATGGTTTTAGCTTTTACGTTTGTGGCGACTTTAATGGCCTAATGATTGGATTCCTTTTTAATATGTAGTTTTTCCTACTCTCAATTCTTAGTATTCTTATTTCAAAATAATAGCACGTTTTTGGAAAACAGACCTTAAAATATGGTTCTCTACTGCTTTTCCTACTTGCTCAATCCTGGGTGTTTTGCATAAACCCGCCCTTCCAGTTTTGAACGTTTTGAGGATTGGTCCACATACAAGTCCTGATTTCAATGACCACGTGGTCTCTTTTTCCCTAGATTGTGGCTCCAGTCTCCCTCCCTAAAAGCTTTTCCAGAGCCACGGGGCACGGCCTGGCGGTGGTCTTCGTCAGTGGGTTGCAGGTGCGGCGAGTGGCTGTGTGCGCTATGCGGGACAGGTTCGGAGCGGCCACGGTCCGGGAGCACAGGCTTTGGAGTCCAAGTTGCTGATTTGGGATCCCTGCTTGCTGTAGGGGCCACCAAAATGTCTGGACAACCGTGGTACAAGGGAGGTTAAGGGGAACAAGGAAAATGGAGAAGTACAGAGCTGCATAACAGGATGCTTGCTTAAGCTTAGGGCGAGTGGAGGACAGAATGTGGTGGGCAAAGATTAGATAAACAACTAACCGCTCCTAGCTGAGAAAGTTATTTTTGGCCCTAGAAACTACCCGCCAAGATCTGCCCGCCAACAACTACCTCTACCAATCAGAAACTCCTGTTTTGTGTGAATAAGCCAATGGCTAACAGCCATATCTGCTTCTGTAACCCGTGCTTGCTTGCTAGCTTCTATAAAACCCCCAATAGTCTGTAAGCCAGGCGCGACTTCCATTTCGGCGGCGCTGCATAGCCGCGAGACTACGGTCTCATTTGGGAAGCTCGCCCCTGCGCAGGTAAAACTTGGCCAATAAATTAGACATCAAGCTGATCTCAGTGTTCGGAGATTTCTTTCACTCGCAACTTGAATACAACATTTGGAGGCCCCAGCGAGATTGAAAGAGAGCCTTCGGAGGCTGAGAAAGTGAAACCCGGGTAAGCTTGCCGCGGAATTTGGTTTGGGAGTCTAGACTCATTAGAGCCGCGAGGTGGTAGGCGAGACGTCGCCGGTAGTCCACCCGCGGGGTTCTCAAGGAGAGGACGCTCTCGAGAACCGGAGGTTTTGCTTTCGCGACTGGGTCGCATTTGGTAATTGGTTTCGATTTGCGCCGCGACTGAACGCGCTAGCGAAGTCTGTGTGTGTGGAGAGACTGAGGTGTGCCGCGGCCTGATTGTGCGTGAGTGAAAAGAGTGGAGGCACCGCTGGGCTAGAAAGCACATGCCCGGAGTGAGAGACTCTTGCTGTGTTCAGACTTTTTTTTGGTCTTGCCTTCGTTGCGTGGTTTGTCTTTGTAATTACTGCTTTAATCCTAGAAGCCCCATACCCGCTCAACATGGGACAAGGAGGCTCCACCGCGAGTACTGCCCTGGAGTGCTTGCTAAACAACTTTTCTGACTTTCAGAATCGCGCTCGGGGCTACGGAGGTCCTCCACCCGACCCAGAGACCCTGCGAACTTTCAGTGAACTTGAGTGGCCGACCTTTGACGTAGGGTGGCCCACGGAGGGGACCTTTGATTTGCCCCTCCTGTTCGCGGTCCGGCGGGTGGTGTATGCGACCCCCCACCCAGATCAGGTGGTCTACATAGATGTGTGGGTAGACATAGCCACTGACCGTCCTGGGTACATCCGCCGGTGCCAGTCTAATGGGCAGGGAAGGAAAAGGGCTCTCTGTGTGGCAACGGCACCTAGGCAGACCCCTCACTCTCAGAAAGGAAAAGGGCGCCGGCCTCAGCAAAGTCAGGGGAACGGGGGAGGGAGGAAGTTATATCCTGTTCTGCCCGAAGTACCAGAAGATCCGCTGTTAGCTCCCTCCGCTCCTCCCCCGTATCACCAGCCTCTGCCAGACTCCTCGGGCGGAGGGAGAGGGAATCCAGAGCCCGCCTCATACGCGCGGTGGTGCACAATATGGGGGTACAGGTTTGGCGCCGAGGCCGGATGGCGCCGCCATTTTGCCACTCAGGGAGGTGCCACCAGCTCCGGACGCCCCGTTACATGCACCACCGCGGCTGGTCTATGTCCCTTCCTCTACTAGTGATTTATACAATTGGAAGCTGCAGAATCCCCCGTTTTCTGAAAAGCCACAGGGATTAATTTCCTTGCTAGAGACCATATTTAGAACCCACCAACCAACGTGGGATGACTGTCAGCAAATACTGCAAACCTTATTCACCTCAGAGGAGAGAGACAGAATAATGAGAGAAGCTGTCAAAGCGGTCATGGGAGAAGAGGGAGAGACCGCAGTAGGGAGGAGGGAGGTGCAAGATATATTACCTGAACAACCCCCGAATTGGGACCCCAACACGAGTGGGGGAAGGGATGCACTACTCCAATACCGCCGGGCTCTGTTAAGGGGGTTAAAGGCAGCAGCCAAGAAACCAACAAATTTTAGTAAGGTTAGTGAAGTAGTTCAAGGGAGAGAAGAATCCCCAGCTAGTTTTCTAGAGAGGCTGACAGAAGCCTACCGGGTATACACCCCATTGGACCCACAGGCCCCAGAGAACAGGCGGCTTTTAAACATTGCCTTTGTGACCCAAGCAGCTCCTGATATTAGAAAGAAATTGCAAAAGATTGAAGGATTTGAAGGAGAAAATATCAGCAAGCTTGTAGAAATTGCTCAGAAAGTATATGTGAACAGAGATGACCCAGAAATAGGAAAGGCAAAAGAAGTAGCAAAGATCCTAATTGCAGCCCAGGCAGGCCCAAGACAGGATAGAGGGAAAAGAAAGCCGAAAGGCCAGTGGCCCAGAGTAGACAAAGACCAGTGTGCATTTTGCAAAGAAAAAGGGCATTGGAAGAAAAATTGCCCCAAATTGCACGCAAAAGAGACTAGCCCCGCGGTGCTGCTTCAAACCTTGGACTGACGGGGCCAGGGCTCCATATCCGTCGGCTCCCAGGAGCCCATGGTCACCTTGAATGTCGAAGGGAAACCTGTAGACTTCCTGGTCGACACGGGAGCCACTTTTTCTGTTTTAACGCAGCCTCGGGGGCAAATCCAAAAGGCAACCACGAAGATCGTAGGGGCAACGGGTAAGGCCGAAACATATCCCTGGACGGCGGCCAGGATTACCAACTTGGGGCGAGGGACTATTACTCACTCCTTCCTAGTTATCCCAGACTGTCCATATCCGTTACTCGGGAGAGATTTGTTACAGAAGCTCCAGGCTACCATAAGCTTCGGTCCAGCAGAAACATCGGAGGGAACCAGTGTGAAGGTAACAGTTCCCTTATCTGAAGAATACCTGCTGACGGTACTCCCAGACGGTGAGAAAGATGGGAATACAGCACTGGGAAATCTGCAAACCCGAGTACCAGGGGTGTGGGCGGAAACGAACCCGCCAGGGCTGGCTGTCCATCAGGTACCGGTACTAGTCCAGTTGGCCAGCAATGCGCAGCCGGTCCGAATCAGACAGTACCCGGTCCCGGCACGGGCCAGACAGGGGATTGCGGGACACTTGCAACGCCTACTAGAGACTGGCATTCTGAGAAAATGCCAGTCCGCATGGAACACCCCCCTTCTCCCCGTCCAAAAGCCAGGAACCCAAGACTACAGGCCGGTGCAGGACTTGCGGGAGGTAAACGCCCGAGTTGAAACAATACACCCTACTGTGCCAAACCCGTATACCCTCCTGAGCTCGTTGCCCCCAACCCATACCTATTATTCTGTCTTAGATTTGAAGGACGCCTTCTTTTGCATACCTCTGGCCGCCCAGAGCCAGGACATTTTTGCCTTTGAATGGAATGACCCTGAGAATGGACTGGTGGGGCAGTTCACGTGGACCAGACTACCCCAAGGGTTCAAGAACTCACCAACCATTTTCAATGAGGCTCTAAGTAAAGATCTCCAGGGGTTCAGAGAGACCCATCCATCAGTAGTTCTCCTTCAGTATGTAGATGACATCCTAGTAGCAGCCCGGACACAGGAGGACTGTGAATCAGCTACACTGGACCTGCTTCAGGACCTAGAGAGGATGGGCTACCGGGTGTCAGCCAAGAAGGCTCAGATCGCATCACAAACTGTAAGTTACCTGGGGTACGACCTGAAAGGAGGGCTGAGGGCCTTGTCGAAGCAGCGGATCCAGGCAGTCCTGCAGATCCCAGAGCCAACCACCAAGAGACAGGTACGAGAATTCCTGGGGGCTGTAGGCTACTGCAGATTGTGGATACTGGGTTTTGCGGACGTAGCAAAACCCCTGCATGATTTAACCAGAGGCAAGGAAGGCTCCTTTGCGTGGACTGAGGAGGGGAAGCGAGCATTCCTGGCCTTGAAGGAGGCCTTAGTCTCAGCCCCAGCCCTAGCCTTGCCTGATTTGACCAAGCCTTTCCAGCTATATATCGCTGAAAAGGAGGGTACGGCCCTAGGTGTTCTGAGCCAGACTCTCGGCCCATGGAAGAGGCCTGTGGCCTATCTGTCCAAAAAGCTCGACCCAGTAGCGTCAGGATGGCCGGCCTGTTTGAGAGCTATCGCAGCCACGTCACTACTGGTCAAGGAAGCAGGCAAATTGACCCTGGGGCAGGACATACAGGTCATAGGAGAACATTACGTCGAACAGGTCCTACGGTCCCCCCCAGACCGGTGGTTGTCTAATGCGCGGCTGACACAGTATCAGGCACAGCTGCTGAACCCTCCAGCGGTACAATTCCTCAAGACTACTGCCCTGAATCCAGCCACCCTGCTGCCAGTACCAGACTCCACTGTGATCCACAGTTGTAAGCAAATCCTCGACACAGTGACTGGCTCCCGCCCGGACTTAAGGGATCAGGCGTATGAAAAGGTAGACCTGACCCTCTTTACTGATGGGAGCAGTTTTATCAAGGAAGGACAGCGGTATGCAGGGGCAGCAGTGACCACAGAAGATAAGG